TGAATCTATGAAGGAGGAAGCTTTAATTGGCTTTGAGGTTGCAGTTCAAACACGAACAATCATTTGGTTTTGCTACTGAAATACTGAACAGCTCAGTGTGGATTGCACGGCCTGGGTGAAGTTCTGGGATTGAGGTTTACAATTAAATGGACAGCCGCCTCCTTGGGTTCCTGTTTTAGGATTTATGAGGGTTGGTGATCTGTTGTGTTAATTTCATCATTTGACTACATTGATAACGTGATTGCAATGCACTAGCATTGTTACCGCATTGATTTACCGATTTTGACTTTAACGTAAGTGTGTTCACCCAGTGGTTAATGTAGTCATGTATATAGCAGTTTAGTCTTAGTGATATGTGTTCTTGATTTTGGGTGGTTGTTTTTTTCAGTTTAAAAAAATGTATAAAGGGGAATCTGGAGCCATTTCTTTCAATAAGCAACGTGGGCCGGAACTGCCGAAAATCAGGGTGGAGATCAGCGAGTCATCTAAATTAACCCTTTGGTTCTCACAGGGGAGCAGCCAGAAGGCATATCCATCTCTGCTCCAGCTGTAACTGGAGGAGCTCTGGGCATCACAAGGGACAATGAGGCCGCCCCCCTCCCCCCCCAGGTTTTGAGGAATTGGGTGGGGCAATGTGGGAGTGACATGGGGTCGCTGAGGTGGCGAGAGTCTCTGAATAGTGGCAGGTGATGGTGCCTTGCTCTGCAGTGTCCGTCACGGCTATGCCCAGCCTGTAACCCCAACTGGCTGGCTGTGCCTAGTCAGGCCCAGCTGATGTTGGGGGGTCTTATCTGAAGGGTTGTTAATGGGGTTGAAGAGCCTGTATGGTTCAGCAAATGTGCTGGCAAAGTGAATGCATGTGTGTTAACAGGGCATATTGGGGCATTGCTGAAAAAAGGCAGAGTTAAGGTTGGGTGGGCAACCTTAACTATGCATTTCCTGGTTTTCAAAAGTTTCAAAAGTCAAATGGATGTGTGTGATCAGCAAAGCGGGGCCTTTAGATCCACCACACAGACTTCTGTCTGCTCAACTGATGGAGAAGCAGCAGTAGTAGGTTGTTATCCTGTATGTAGACTGGTCAGAAGAGGGGGATGAGACTCTCACTTTTCCAGGGAATTTCACAACTATTTGCTCCTAGCAGGGGAATGTAGAGAGTGCACTATCCAATCCCAGCTCAGTCCCTATGGAACACCAATAATTCCCATTGTTCCCCCCTCCCCCATGCTCCTAACTCCCTTCCACCCTCAGTAGTTCCTGGCTGTCTCCTCTCTGCTCCTCACCCCTTTGCATTGGGATCAGGGTGCTTATTCGTTATAGTCCATCCTGCTTGGTGCCAGAAGTGGGATCATAATGTGCACCAGAGAGACAGACTCCTTGCTTTCAATGCTGATGCTCGGAACCACAGCAAACTCTGGTGTCATGTCCATGGCTGCAGCATAGAGAGAGCCCAGTGGGATGGGATGAGAGTAAAGGAGGGTGGTGGAAGTAGGACAGCTTGGGGCGGGGATGGGGATCCTCTCTTTTTCCTTTTCTCTCCACTTTCTGTTCTTTTCTTTCCCTGCCAGGATGACAGCTTGTATGTCAGATGATAAAATTACTGAGATTGTAGGAACCATCAGAGCAGACGGAGCCCCGGGGGAAACTGCTCTTTCATGATTTTAAAGCTAATCTAATGATTTACGGTGAGCCTGATTGATCATTTTTGAACGTTTGGAGTTGGCAATATTGTGAAAATGACTTGAAAGTGTCAGTTTCACTCCTGATGAAAGTCAGTTTCTAAATTATGATTTGTAGTTGGGTAACACCTATAGAGCTCCAGCAGGTGCTGTATGAACTCACCGGGCCCTGCCCTGGTATGGTGTTTCCAGAAGTTAAATGATCTGTTCCAAGCTTTGGGAATGGCAAAAAAAAGTGATAGAAAGTCATCTGGCTTTTTTCTGCAATTGTCGCATTCAAGTGTTAGTAACAAAGTAAGAACAGACATTACAATTTTAAACCTACCCAGTGTCCCTTAAAGACAGGGGAGGGGTGGCTCAGTGGTGTGAGCATTGACCTGCTAAACCCAGGGTTGTGAGTTCAATCCTTGAGAGGGCCACTTAGGAATCTGGGGTAAAAATCTGTCTGGGGATTGGTCCTGCTTCAAGCGGGGGTTGGAGTAGATGATCTTCCAACCCTCGTATTCTATGACATGGCACAAGATGTCAGAACACATTAGTGTTAGAGGTGAGTCGGTCTAATATTTATTGAATTTTCTTTCTTTATATAGGAATTAGACACAGTTCTCCTGTCAGCTAATTTCTAAGTTAGCTGCAAAAAAACAAAACCTAGAGTTTTCAGGTGCCTAAGTAGGTCCCCTGCAATCACAGTTAAAGTTCCCCCCCCCCCCAAAATCTGAAATGGGGCCCCTGAACTATGATGCAGATATCTGACCCAGGAGATCCTTGTAAAACCGTGTTACATCTGCCAGTTAGCAGCAACCAGTCCCTGCCTCACACCCGCTTCCAGAATCCAACGTGGTTCCACACTGCCTGCTGCCATGGCCTGAACCCGGCCACACCCCGGTCTCTGCCGACACAATTCCCCCCCCCCCTTCCACTGTGTCATGGCTAAATAGCAAGAATTGTCAATTTCTCTTCCGGCTTGAGCATGATGGAAGCAGACTGTGGCTCATAGCGTTGCTGGAGATTGTGGTTCGTTTCAGACCTTGACAATTCAGACAGTCTATTTCCGATTGCAAGCTGCAGGCCAGCGGTGATTCCAATCACAGGTCATCACCGGAGCACTGAGATTATCGGTGGCGGGCGGGGAGGGGGGTTGCTCCTTTCTTTCTTCAGCCTGGATAAACTCAGCCTTTGGTTCCACTCCAGGCCTTCCATGAAAGGACAGCAGCATAAACAGGAGAGAGAACGTTTCACCGGCAGGGTGGAAGATGCCCACATCCCTTCTCTTTGGCCAGTATTCCCTTTTAAAGGAGAGTAAGTTTCAATGGAATTGAGTGCCCCGGCTTGGACAAGAGACAGGTGTCACAAAGTGTGGGGAAGTCAGGGCCCTGCACCCCCCCCCCCCACTTCCTGCGATTCACCGTGACTCTCAGCCAGCCAGTAACAGAGAAGGTTTATTAGACGACAGGAGCCCAGTCCAAAACAGAGCTTATAGGCATAGCCGCCGACTCCGTGGGTGCTCCAGGGCTGGAGCACCCATGGGAAAAAATGAGTGGGTGCTCTGCACCCACCGGCAGCCAAGCTCCCCTCCCCCCCGCCCCTCCTCCTCCTGCCCCCGAGTGCGCAGTGTCCTCGCTCCTCCGCCTACCTCCGAGCGCTTCCTGCCTGGCCAAACAGCTGTTTGGCCTCCGGGAGGGGTGGAGGAGTGGGAATGGAGTGCGCTCAGGGGAGGGGTGGGGCTGGGGCGAGGATTTGGGGAAGGAGTCAGAATAGGGGCAGGGTGGGGACAGAGACTTTGGGGCAGGGGTGGGGCCTCATGGAAGGGGTGGAGTCGGGGCAGGGCAGCGGGGGTTTGAGCACCCACCGGTGAGAGCAGAAGTTGGCACCTATGCTTGTAGGTAGGTACAGGAAACAGGACCCCTCAGTCAGGTTCATCTTCGGGGATAGGGAGCCGAGACCCCCGTCTGGACCTCCCTCCGTTTCCCCAGCCAAACTGAGGCCCCCTCCAGCTGTCTCACCCAGCCACACACCCTCAGCTCCTCCTCCAGCCTTTGTCCAGTTTCCTGGGCAGAAGGTGTCACCTGGCCCCAAACCCCTCCTGGGCTCAGGTTACAGGCTTACGTATCATCCCTCAAGTGAAGTCACCCCTCTGATATCCCACCACCATCCAGCACCCATGCAGACAGTCCCAGTAAAACTCCCACGCAATATTACCAGGTCAATCCTCCGCACTCCCTGCTCCGTCACAACAGGTTTTACTGTTCATGGAGCCATGCCAAGGAAATGTTTTTTCTGCGTAAAACTCACAAGAGAAATCAAACTGCCACAGAGTGGCACCCTGGAACCCCCCCTACTGTCATATAATTATGCCATGCGTTGCACCAAGTGTGCCTGGCGAGGTATCGTTTTAGAAGTCGTGATCTGTTGAACATTAATCGCCTGTTGGCTTGTGTGGGAAGTCAGGCAGTTTTGCTCGCTGCGCGTTACTGAAATATGTTCTGAGCACTCACAACCAACCTGTCAGGTTCCACACTGGCGTAGCCAGACATGCTGATCGCCCATTAAAGGGAACCCACTCATAGACTTTAAGGTCAGAAGGGACCATTATGATTGTCTAGTCTGACCCCCTGCACAATGCAGGTCACAGAATCTCACCCACCACTCCTGTAACAAACCCCTGACCT